TAGGAGGTCCTGTAGGCCATTTGGTTCAATCCTCACATGCAAAGGGCATACAGACCTCAAGGGGCCCGACTTGTTCTGGAGCCACCTGCTCTCAATTTGCCACTATTGTGAAGTGGCTTAAGAGCCACTTCAGGATTTTAAAAAAATAAATACTTCCTTGACCCTGTGGAGGATCCAAGCAAGTGATTTTTTAAAAAAAGAGAAGAAAAGGTCCAGTTGAGAGCCTGCCTGATTCAGCTGCAGACAGATTCTCCACCAGACTTTTAGGAAAAGAGCAAACAAACAAAAAACCCTCATTGCTCTGACCGGTCTCTTCCTGCTTCTGGGAGAACGTTTTCGATATGTCTTTTTAAAAAAAGTGATGCAAGCACTTACATGCTGCCCTAATACACTTCTTCTTCTTCTTTTTTCCACTTTCTCAGCCCTTCCCAGAGTCAAGGAAGTATTTAATTTGCCAGTATCCTGAAGTGGCTCTTAAATTCAAAGTGATTTTTCGATTTTGTTTTTCCAGTGATCTCACACACACACACACACACACGGGAAACAAAACAGAGTGATCCTACCTGTATCAAAATACAGTATAAGAAACTCCTAACAAGAACATAGTGCACTGTGGGCTAAATTGCAGAAGCCTGTGCTGCAGGGTCAGAAGACCAGCAGTGGTAAGATCGAATCCACATGATGGAGTGAGCTCCCATCGCTCCTCACCAATCTAGCAGTTCAAAAGCATGCAAATGCGAGTAGGTAAATAGGGACCACCTCGGTGGGAAGGTAGAACAGCATTCCCTAGTCACGTGGGCCACGTGGCAATGGAAACTGTCTTCGGACAAGCGCTGGCTCTATGGCTTGAAAATGGGATGAGCACTGCCCCCTAGAGTCGGACATGACTGGACTAAAAATGTCAAGGGGAACCTTTACCTTTTTAACAGGGATCAGTAAAGTTCAGTAGGAACACTCCAGGAATAATTTGGTTCCTTCCTGTGATTACATTATGTGATTGCTGAAAAAAAGATCAAACCAACCCATTCTTGAAGCAGACCAAAAAGCGTGTTAAATGCCTATCTGACCTCACCCATTGTACCAAGCTTTTCAGTAAGTTACTGTTGCAAAGAAAATTAATAACTGACAGTAGTAAATCTACTTCTATGACTATAATTCAAAATATAGGTAAATACTGTACCAATGTTCAGCTTCATTTTAAATATTAAATAATGTTGTGGCATCCACCCTAAGTTACACATCAGAAGTTATGCATTATTCATAAGTTGTATGGTAATAGGGTTGTGAGGCGCAGCCAAAGAAGCTGCTGAAGAGGCAGGGCCTGGGAGAGTTCAGTCAGAGAGCCAGAGAGAGGAGGACAGTTTAGGGTTTGGAGGCAGAGAGTGTTTAAGGAGTGATTAGGCAGTGATTAGTCAGAGCGTGCCCAGTGTTAATTAATATAGAAGAGATTAAAGTAAAATGATGAAGCTGTGTGGAACTTTAAGTATGTGCTTAAGATTTATTCCTGAAACCACGTGTAGTCAATAAACCTGTTCCTGTTAAAAGTCAGTACTGGATTGACCTTAGTCTTTCATAAGAAATAAGTTGATAAAGAGATCAACTGGTGGCAGTGTGGCAGAGGGCGTGTGGAGATACCTTCGTGACCTCTGTGCTTGGTGAAACAAGCAGGGGCCACGGGATAAACGCCACAAATGTACAGTATTCAGAACAGTAGTAGACATCCTTCAGTCTTGAGAGATTATGGTAACATGCTCTGAACAGAGGACATGGAACAGTGTCTAGTGTGGCTGAGAAGGCCAATTCGAGAGTGACAATCCCTTCCACACTGAAGGCAAATACAATCTGTCCCCTGCCCAGCTCCCTGATTTTGCTGGTTTTGGGACTGCCTCTTTGCCTCAGCCTACTGAACAAGTGTCTCTTCAAAATAGGAGACGCTGTTTCAGTAATGTATACATGCTAAAAATTCTAGCTTGTTCTAGGACTACTCTATTTGGAATTTTGTCCTGCCAGGTGATACCAAAAATGTGTCAGAGACAATGCATATAAAACATATTCAGAATATATTTTCTGTAACACCATCCACACTTGCCAAATAACCATTTTGGAAGAAAAGTATTGCACTTTAATATTAATCCTAAATTAAAACTATGTATGGAAAAAGTTTGAACCAAGATAAACAGTTTAATCTCTGGATTACGAAACATATTTGTTTTTATTCATTATTTGTTACATAAATCAAAGCTATTTTGAAAATAATTAACTTTAAAGAATAAAACAAAGTAATTATTACCTATAACCCACACTATTTATTGAAGTTACTTAGCTTCCTAAAATATTCACCCAATAATAAATGTAACTTATAACTCAGAATTCTGCATCAAACTCAACTCCATAACAAAAGAACAGTTTTTAAAACAACAAAATCAAAAACAAAGTCAGAGGGTTAGGACAGAAATCGTCCCTGTATCAAAAAATAGTATAGTGAATGTCCAGTGCAAGCAAAGAAATTAGAAGTTGCATAATACTAACTAGCTATTCTACAAGTAATGGATTCTCAGCAGTTTAATCTGCAGAGCTATCCTGTGTCAGAAGTAAATTACTATGTTCAACTGAATTTTGAGAGAGAGATGTCTGTGGTAGACTAACAGACAATTGTGATTGTAACAAAAATGGCATTGTGACACATTTAAGAGACCTATTGAATCAGTGTGTTTAATACAGTAGTGGTTCTCATATGAGGCTCCCATATGAAAGTACTTAAAATACAGCCTCAATATATTCTGTTCTATTTCAGAATCTGAAACTTCATTTGTTTCTTTTCCCTGTGAGCCCAGTGGTTTAGGTATCTGGTTGCAGGTTGGGAATTACACCATCCCAAGGCACCCCCAGAAGAAGGGAACAGTAAACCACTTCTGAGTATTCTCTACCTGGAAAACTTTGAAAAGGACTGCCATAAGTCAGAACTGATTTGATGGCATTTGATTATGATGATCCTTGGAGGTATGGAAATTTCATTATTTTCTTTGCACTCTTCAATGGAGATTTGAAAACTCCAATACTTCCTTCATTTTCACACTTTACAATTTTAGAATTCAGTTACAATGTGAAGTCTCAAGGGCTCAACCCTGGCATGTTTCACTAAAAATAATTATCTTTCTCACTCATACTGTTTATTATAAATAGAATATCCTTTCTTAGAAAAAGAGTATCATAACACTTGCAACTTCCAAATCATGTCTTCTAAAAAGTAAATAAAGACAAAAACTATAGACTTTATCGGTCTAAACAAGGACCACTTATTTGATTAATATTCTGATTTCCTGAAATCATGTCCCTTTTCTGAACTCATAGTTTTTTCTGTGTATCCTTCACAGAACACAAATCTTAAAGGGTAAACTTTTGTGGACCCATATGTATGTAACCACATCTGGTTAAATGTGATGAACTTCTCCACGGGGAAACCTTGAAACTGGGGTTGAATCTTTAAAGCCTACAGAGGCACGGACGAAGAGATTGTGAATTTTCCCAATACTATCCAGCCTCCCCTTCCCCAATTTAAAATGAAGACAATCAAATATCCGTTTTCTGCAACCGGTTTGCACCTGCTAATTACTAATACAAGGGATAAACTAACTTAAAGTATTGTCCTAATCACTAAGTGTTTGTTTGCTCTGTACATTATTTGTTAAATACCAATTATGGCATTGCCTCACTGGTTCTTTGAAAAACTACAGTTCAGTTACGATCAAAGAGCAAATTCATTGGACCAATGAATTTGCCCGATATTTCCACCTTCGTGAAGAAATCGTGGACAGGCTGAGAGGAGTACAGCTATCCTCCACTACTACTAAAAAGTTAATGACTCCGAGACCCTAATCTAGGCAATGTTGAGCAGTAGAGGCTCCATCTTGAACAGCAGCGCAGACAGCAGGAAGCCCCCCCTTTGCCCCTCCGGCAGGCCAGGGAACACTTCACCTGCCCCATTTTCACCTGCCGCGCAGCTGTTAAAAGCGCCGCCGATTCCACCAAAAAGAAAAAAAGGGGGGGAACTTAAGTAGGCGCAGCCCGAAGTGCCTCCTCACCTCTCGCTTTCTCAAACGCTCGGCCGCTTTACTTCCTCATCTCCATCCCAGGGCAGCATCCCACTGTCGTCGCCCCCTTTTAAGAGAGGCCCGAAAGGCGGCGGCGGCGGCGGCGGCTGCTTCCAGCCCAGGCACAGCTGCCTCGCCTTTGCCGCCGCCGCCTCCACCTGTCACCCGAGGCCCCGCCTGCTCCCGGAGCCTTCTCTTGGCAACCGCGTAGCCGAGGCTGCCCTTTCGCTGCCTGCCACCAGTCACCCCCGGCTCGCCTTCCACCTCCGCCCTCTCCCTTTCAGCTGCTTGCCGGGTTCCAGCACCCGCCCCTGCCCCGGCGACAGCTGAAAACGCGGGGAGGAGGAGGAGGGCGAAAGCCCCGGGACTGCTCCTCCGAGCCCTCGGGTTGAAGCGCGCCCAGAGGCGCTCCCGCCACTACAGAAGGTGATACACACACACACACACCCTCCGTGGGGTTTTTGTGTTTTGGTCTGTGAAGGGACCATTAACGGCGGTGGCCGCTCCGAAAGGGACGCAAGGCCCGCGCTTTCCTGGCGGTCGCCCAAAGCGAACCAACCGCGACTTTCTTTGCCCGCCCGGTCCTTTTGAGAGGCGCGGCGGGTTTTCGAAAGCCGAGGCTGAGCTTGTTAAAGCGGGAAAGTTGCCCGGGACGCTTAGAAAGCCCAAAACAACAAGGCGCGCTCTGACTGCCTGGGACGCCGCGGCCGGCAGAAAGGGCGGCAAGGAGGCGTTGCCGTCCCCTCAGAGCAAGTCGGGAAGGAGATTAGCAAAAGCAGCACGAACCTCCGCACAACCTCACCTCTTCCTTCTCTTCTCCTCCATGACGGCCGCCAAAGCACCCCAGATTAAAAGCCCCCTCCTAGGCGTCTCTTCCCCCCCCCGTCCCGCCCCGCCGTCCTTTCTTACCCGCCGGGGGGATTGCAATCGGCCGCCTGAAGCGCGGCGGTCTCCATGGATGGCGCGGAGGCAGGTGGCGGCGGCGGCGCTTTCTCTGCCTGCTCCGTGAAGCCGCAGTTCGCTCGAACTCCCGCTGCCAGTGGCCCGGAAAGGCGCCCAAAGGAGCGGGGAAGAAACGAGGCGCCAAAGACTAAACCCAAACGCGGTTGCTGTGGCGGCTGAGGCGATTCTTCTCTCTGTCTCTCTGTCTCTCTCTCTCTCCTTCTGTCACATGGGACTCGCAGCAGCCGAGGGGTCCCTCTGACCGAGCCATCGCACCCTCCCGGATCCGAGCGGAAGCTGAAGGGAGACGCAGCACCAAGTCGGGAGCGCTACTTTGCTGGCCGCTGCCTGGCACCCAGCGAGCAAATGGGAAGGCAGCCCCCTGCCGTCGCCGCCCGCCGGAGAGGGAGGCACAGGCAGGGGCAGCCTCTCCCGCTCGCCTCCCAGCTTCGGGGCCGCAATACCCGCGGGGATATCTTTGACACTGAGCGAGCCTCGGCTTGGTTTCCCCAGACGGAGGAAGGGTGGGCACGAGGGGAGCCATGCAATATTTATGCTCGCAGCAGGTATTTTCTTTCCGAGGCCAACCGAGATGGTGGGAGGCGGGGGAGGGTCTAACACAAGGCGAAAGGCCCAGCGGCAGCTGCCCCGATGGGCAGGTGAGTCACCGCACACAGACGGCAATTTCCTCAAAGGCACAGCACCAGGCAGTTGGTCAGAAAATACAAGACGGTACAACAACACTGAGAGAACAGAGCTTAAATTCGAGCTAGGTCAGTACCCCGGAATCCGGCTTCAAAGGCAAGCACAACGTGGGGATACATGAACACCTGCGCACAGGCGGATCCTCCCGCAAAAAGGCGAAGATCTTTCTCTCCAAAGTACAGCTTTCCCTTAATTACTGGCTGCCTGAGTGGGGTTCTTAAACGGGGTTCTTTGTGCCTTAGGGCGTTCAATGTGTTCTTCTGTTGCTTCTCTTTGCCTTTATCTTTTACTATGGTATTTTGTTTGATCCTTTTTAGCGTTTGCAAACATATTGGCTGTTGCTTTAAACATTGTCATTGAATAATGTGATCCGTTTGGGGTCCTTTTGAAGGAGAAAGGCGGGGTGGAAATGTTTTAAATAGATAAGTGCCTTTTGATTCTGACTGCAGCACTATAGAGTAAGTGAAAAAATAGCCTTGGGAATATCCCGCAAAAAAAACAAAAGAAAAATGAAGACAGAAACGTTGTAGCACCTTAAAGACCAACTGCTATATTTTAATGTGACCTTCGTGAAGAAATCGTGGACAGTCTGAAAAAGTGGTCTTGTCCACGAAAGCTCACATTAAAATATAGCAGTTAGTCTTTATGGTGCCACCAAGTTTTTGTCTTCTTTATTGTTGCCCGATACAGTGAGTTGACCCCGCTTCGACTGGAGGGAGCGTGCATAAATTCAGGCTGTCAAGTAAGTACAACTTCCAGCCTCCATTACACTGGATTTCAGAGGAATGGTTGAGCCGCAGCACCTGTCTCAGAAACTAAGCTCCGGGAGTACAGTAGTACAATAGGTCCCGATAAGCCACTAGCCGCCGATCCAATTACCTTGTCGCTGTGCAGGCGGGCTCGCTCTATCCCAAACCCAACACACAGGCTAGATCGCCTTCACGCAAGCCTTGCTGGTTAAGAGCCAAAAAGTTTGGGGAGGGGAGGAGGTCGCTGTGGCCGCGAGCGCGGCGTTTCCATGTGACTGCCCGGGACAAACACACCCACCGCGCCGCAAGAATCTCGCCAGAACAAGAGCAACACATGACACGCACAGACGGAGGCCGCCCCCCCCCCGGCCGCCCGCCCGCCCCTGGATCGCGCCCACCCGCAAAAGGAGGCCAAACAACCTGCATCGAGAAGAAACTCTTTACTTACATAAATCAAGGGAGACGTCATTGCCCGAAGTATAAACAGGAGAGTTCTGGACTGTGATCACCCTCCCTGCATGTTGGCCTGGCATACGCTGCCTCTTGCTATAGGTGAATGTAAAATTAAATTAGGCCAGGGGTCTTGGGTTTGCCTTTTGCCACACTATAGATACAAGTTCCCACATAACTCCTTTTATTTATTTAAAATATATTTTTAAAGACACACACAAGCTGTTGGTCTTCCACCCTTGCCTACTTATTCATCTCCAGTGTTTCCTTCCCCTTCCCTACTTGTTGACCTAGCACATTATACCTATACCTGTATCTGCTGCTTCTATACACCATATAGATGATTAATTCTTATAATTCTTATAACCATGCAAGAGGAGGCAGGGCAAAACCCACAAGAGATAAGGACCTAGAAGGAGGAGGAAAATTAATTGGGGTGCACCTGGCAAGTGACATCAGTCTAGCACAGGGATCAGGGAACTTTTTTACCTTTTACCCCCTAAAAAATGTATATACGCCGACATTACCCCCTTGATTTGAAAGGAAGGATCTCGGTTACACGTGGTCAGTTGAAAGCTGCCTACTGCGCCGGGGCTGCCCACACCCAGGCTGCCTCCTCCTCCTCTGCCTGTGACATCAGTCTAGCAGCTTTCACAGTCTCATATTTTCGTCACACCAATCTGCACACACCAGATTTCAAAAGCAGTTCCTAAAGGCCAGAGCAATCCCTTTTCCCTGCCCTCTAGTGTAGTGGTAGGAATAATCATGGTAGCATTAGAGGCCAGATTTATCAAGATAGTTAATTTTTACAACACATCTGCCTTCCTAACCAGTTTATTAACCCCACTCAGCAATATGATAGCTACAGCCGCTGCCACCACCACTCAGAGCCCTCAAACTGTATTTAAAAATAAAGACATCTTAAATTGATGTGGTCAAAATGCTGGTTTTCTCCCTCCCTTTGCATCCTCATTACCCCCAGGATTTTCAATTTTACCCCATTTGGGGTAATTTACCACTGGTCTAGCAGCTTTCACAGTCTCATATTTTTGTCACACCAATCTGCACACACCAGATTTCAAAAGCAGTTCCTAAAGGCCAGAGCAATCCCTTTTCCCTGCCCTCTAGTGTAGTGGTAGGAATAATCATGGTAGCATTAGAGGCCAGATTTATCAAGATAGTTAATTTTTACAACACATCTGCCTTCCTAACCAGTTTATTAACCCCACTCAGCAATATGATAGCTACAGCCGCTGCCACCACCACTCAGAGCCCTCAAACTGTATTTAAAAATAAAGACATCTTAAATTGATGTGGTCAAAATGCTGGTTTTCTCCCTCCCACCATTTTTATTCTCTGAGATGCCTCAGGGGATCCAAAGGGTCCTGAGACATTTGTGGGAACCAGAGGTAATTGGTGGGTGAAGGTGGAGGCATGCATATCATTTGAACAGATTGCTAGGGAGTCCCAGGAGAGGGACCTGCCCCATAGGTAGGCTTTTGAAGAAGACCTATAGAATGGAGGAAGAAATTCAGACACTAAACAGAGGAACCTAAACAATAGGAGAGAAAACCAGGAGGCTAGGGAAATGAAGGACTTGAGGTGATTGTTGTGGGTTTTTCGGGCTCTTTGGCCGTGTTCTGAAGGTTGTTCTTCCTAACGTTTCACCAGTCTCTGGTGCTGTCCTCTGAAGATGCCGGCCACAGAGACTGGCGAAACGCTAGGAAGAACAACCTTCAAAACATGGCCAAAGAGCCCAGAAAACTCACAACAACCATTAGATCCCGGCTGTGAAAGCCTTCACAAATACATTGACTTGAGGTGAGTTTGGCAGGCAAAAAAACAAAAAACCCAAAACAGAGGTGAGAAGAAGAGGCAATGGCATGAATATCATGAAGAGGGGAAACCAAGAAAAGGTTTCCTCCCATTTCCTCTAATGAAAAGAAAGACATTTGGGGAAGAGACACTGACTCTTACATAAAAGTTCTATGCTTTTTAAATTTCTGTTTCATGTAAGCAGGAATATTTTCTGCAGTCCATGAGATAACTATTTATGGCTTCTGTTTCTTATTCTTATTCTAGTTTCAACCAATCTAGTCCTGTGAGGGCAGCTGATGGGAAGCAGGGCAATCCACTCTCACTCTGGAAAAAAGAACCTTTTTTCTAAAGGGGATAGCAGCAACCCACAGCTTACTGTTCTGCTTACCCGCCTGGTGCCAGGATGAAGGGAACAGGGAAAATCAGTGAGTGAACCCCGGGATACAAGAGTGCACAGGTCTATATGGGATGTCATGAGAGAGGGAAATTGAGAGATCATGGTGCTGTTTTGAAAAATTTAGGCTTTGTAGTCTATGCCTTCTTCATGGATTGCTGCCTTGTCGTGGCGAAGGGGCTTGAGTAACTCAGAGAAACTATGGGCTATGCCGTGCAGGGACACCCAAGACGGACAGGACATAGTGGAGAGTTCCGACTAAACGCAATCCACCTGGAGTAGGAAATGGCAAGCCACTCCAGTATCTTTGCCAAGAACGCCCCATGATCAGAAACAAAAGGCTAAAAGATATGACGCTGGAAGATGGGCCCCTCAGGTCGGAAGGCGTCCAACATGCTACTGAGGAAGAGAGGAGGACAAGTACAAGTAGCTCCAGAGCTAATGAAGTGGTTGGGCCAAAGCCGAAAGGACGCTCAGCTGTGGACGTGCCTAGAAGTGAAAGGAAAATCCAATGCTGCAAAGAAAAATACTGCATAGGAACCTGGAACGTAAGATCTATGAACCTTGGGAAGCTGGAGGTGGTCAAACAGGAGATGGCAAGAATAAACATCGACATCCTGGGCATCAGTGAACTAAAATGGACAGGAATGGGCGAATTCAGCTCAGATGATTATCATATCTACTACTGTGGGCAAGAATCCCGTAGAAGAAATGGAGTAGCCCTCATAGTCAACAAAAGAGTGGGAAAAGCTGTAATGGGATACAATCTCAAAAATGATAGAATGATGTCAATACGAATCCAAGGCAGACCATTCAACATCACAATAATCCAAGTTTATGCACCAACCAGCATTGCTGAGGAGACTGAAATTGAACAATTCTATGAAGATTTACAACACCTTCTAGAACTGACACCAAAGAAAGATGTTCTTCTCATTCTAGGGGACTGGAATGCTAAAGTAGGGAGCCAAGAGATAAAAGGAACAACAGGGAAGTTTGGCCTTGGAGTTCAGAACGAAGCAGGACAAAGGCTAATAGAGTTTTGTCAAGAGAATAAGCTGGTCATCACAAACACTCTTTTCCAACAACACAAGAGGCGACTCTACACATGGAAATCACCAGATGGGCAATATCGAAATCAGATTGATTATATTCTCTGCAGCCAAAGATGGAGAAGCTCTATACAGTCAGCAAAAACAAGACCTGGAGCTGACTGCGGCTCTGATCATCAGCTTCTCATAGCAAAATTCAAGCTTAGACTGAAGAGAGTAGGAAAAACCACTGGGCCACTCAGGTATAATCTAAACCAAATCCCTTATGAATACACAGTGGAAGTAAAGAACAGATTTAAGGAACTAGATTTGGTGGACAGAGCATCACCTCCACTGGCCTTGTTGTTAGCCAGGCTTTCTAAGGCCCACTTGACTTCACTGTCCAGGATGTCTGGCTCAAGGTCAGCAACTACACTGTCTGGGTTGTCTGGGATATCCAAATCTTTCTGATATAATTCCTCTGTGTATACTTGCCACCTCTTTTTGGTGTCTTTTGCTTATGTTAGGTCCCTCCCATTTTTGTCTTTTATAATGTCCATCTTTGCACAAAATGTTCCTCTAATATCTCCAATTTTCCTGAACAGATCTCTGGTTTTTCATTTTCTGTTATTTTCCTCTATTTCTTTGCATTG